CTTCCTGGCCGGGCACACACACACAGCACAACTACATACACCTACGAACCCACAAACCCCACCTGCCCAGGTCCACGACGGCTTGCTTCGAGATGCTCTGCTTCCTGGCCGGGCACACACACACAGCACAACTACATACACCTACGAACCCACAAACCCCACCTGCCCAGGTCCACGACGGCTTGCTTCGAGATGCTCTGCTTCCTGGCCGGGCACACACACACAGCACAACTACATACACCTACGAACCCACAAACCCCACCTGCCCAGGTCCACGACGGCTTGCTTCGAGATGCTCTGCTTCCTGGCCGGGCACACACACACAGCACAACTACATACACCTACGAACCCACAAACCCCACCTGCCCAGGTCCACGACGGCTTGCTTCGAGATGCTCTGCTTCCTGGCCGGGCACACACACACGACACAGCTACATAGACCTACGAACCCCACCTGGGAGCCAACCAGATGGCCAGGATCGACCATGCCATCGGTTCCAGCATCCTCCACGGGTTGAGTTGTCCATCCATGTCGAGCCCTAGCCGCAGCCGCCAACGTCCCAGCCTCGATCGGGATGGTCTGGGAAGCTGCCTGAGCAAACACCACAGGATACCACAGGCAGCGGGCATCATTCTGCGTCCTTGGCCGACACTGCGGTTCTTTGCTCACATCAGCGATGATCAGGGACGTGTCGTATCTATGATACTATGGGCGACTCTGTGCCATCTCTGTACAACCGGCGCAGACTCTTCAATTCCAGACGACTACCAGAGCCAATTCCACCTTCAGGTATCTCAGGAGCACAGCCGAACTACGGGCCATCCCGCAGAAGCTTTGCCCCTAGCCCGAAGGATACAGGCGAGGGGGTCGAAACGGTCGAAAAGAAGTCCCTCCTTAGTTTGAGAAATCATAGAGAAATCATAGAGAAGAGCAGGAAGATGCAGGAAGGCACAGCGAAACCCACGCCAAGCAGCCGTGATTTTTTCATCGGAGAGCCAACCGACAAAATGGATCCGCCATCTTCGTAGACCTTCGACACACTTGCCCTAGTACACCCCAACCTCAACCTAAACCTCCTACAACTATCTACGACTGCACAAGCCCAAGGGACTGCCGATGTCGCGGTGCATGGACTTGCAGCCCAGTCCTAGACACAGTTCAGCTATGGATGTGCCACGTATGTTCCCGCATGTTCCGGCGCCGGTCCTGGTACTTGCTGGAGCGATCGGGAGACTTTTCGTAGACGGTCCCGCCATCCTCATAAACCTGAGCCGACAGATGCCACAAGTAATGTGTGCTCATGAGTCATGATCAATGGTGTCCAAGTGACGGCTTCCTTCCTCTCCAGGGGGTCGAACTCCTCATCGATGCGCTCAAGAAACTCTTTGTCTGGATCCTCAGTTCGTGTCGGTTCTGAGGAGGGGTTAAGGCTTTAAGGTGTGATATGGTGTGATGCAGGCAAGGAGCGGTGCCGTCACTTTCAAAGGGTCTTTTGCAAGGGATGCTGGGCGGAAGTCCCGTAACCTTCATCTTCGTAGTCTTCACCCTGGTCTCTACGTCGTTCCACGTAGCCCATGTCGGTAGGCAAGGCCCGAACATGGTTTTGAGGCAGCCAGCACTAAAAATCTGGTCCGTGATGGTCCGTGAGCTAAGCCCTGGAATGCCCTGGAGCGGTGTCACCAAGTGTCGCAAGGCTTCCCGAGTATGTCCAGTGTGCCAACATGTGCCAACGTGCATGCTGATGTGTGCTTGTGCATGCTGGCATGCTGCTACTGCCAAAATCATGGAGCCGTGCTGCAGCAGAAACAAGCACAGCCTCCAGCACGCCACAAGTTCAATCTGAGAAGGCATGAGAAGGCGCAGCAACAAAGGGCCGCACCGAATGTGTGGATGTGGATGAAGTCAACTCAGCAGCCTCCAGAGTAGATACCATAAGAAAGGCATGGTGAGGGAACCAAGGCCCAGACGGCCGGCACCAACGTAGAAGGGTCCTGCTGCAGATCATGAGCCCGGGCCCGCAACAACCCTACAGCCCCGAAACCCCAGAGAACCCATCCAGGCAAAAAAAAGAAAGGGTCTAGGGTTTAAGGTTAAAAGAGACCTTGGACCCAAGCCTCCGCCGCTGTCACTGTCGACGATGGCTGGTCCTGCCGTGTCACAACAGGAAACCAACAAGAACTTGCGATGCGACCCAAGCCTCCAAGGGAACGATCGTGGAGGGAGCGGAAATGTCCTGTCGTGCAAAACCAGAAAGCTAAGACAAACCAGCGATGCGACCCAAGCCTGCAAGGAGACGACACCGGAAGGAGCGGATGTGTCCTGTCGTGCGACACCAGAAAGCCAACAAGAACTTGCGATGCGACCCAAGCCTGCAAGGGAACGATCTCGGAAGGGGCAGTGTCCTGCCGTGTCCACAGCACACAGACTACCGGACTACCGAAACGATGGTACACGTGCCAAAAGTCCTTCAGTGGAAAAGCTGCTGACTGGGTCGATGCATCGGCCGATTGAGTCTCCTTCCGAGTGTTGGGTCGGGCATGGTCGGGTGATCTGAAAGCAGCTGGTCTCCTCGGGAGCTTCCTGTGCTGGCCCTGCATCCTGCGAGACAACAAAATCAAAGGAATCCCAAGAATTGCATGCGAAAAGTCCTGCAACGGCATGGCTGCTGCAGCATCAGGCTCTGGATCCTGCACAGCAAATGTCAGCAAGTGTTGGTTTAGCGCTAACATTCCACAGACAATCCCGGCCTCGGAGGCAAACCCCATGTCCCCCTGATTCTTCGCCTTCTGCCGCAACCACTCTGGCACCTGCAGTCACACATGCAGCACCCAACAAAACCCGAACCCAAAGACTAACCCAGTAGCCCCGACATGGCCTTTGACTTGCCACATTCATCTGCCCACTGGTCTGCCTGGAAACAACACAAAAAAAACCCGCAGCAGCTGTTCTCTCGCAATCAGTTCTCGCAATCCACATGTTCGCCCGCCTTCTTCCTGCTGTAAAAGGATGCTATGGCGGTGCCAGTTCCGCCCGTGCTGCAGGTGTACGTCCCTGAGCGGCACAGATTTTGGCTGGCTTAACACACCCAAGCCTAAGTTGCCTGCAACCAAGTTACAGTCGTGGCGCCCCGGCTTTCCATAATTGCGGTATGTCACAGACCATGGCATTCCGGAGTCGCACACTTAAGCCGTTGGTGACTTCTTAAGTTTTTTTGGGCGAAGTCCTGAGTGGGTCAGGTAGTGTCATGTGCGATTGTGTTGGCATGTGTCACTCCAAGCAAACCTAACGGACCTACCGCCGCAAACCTTGCTCCTATCTCCTCGGAATCGGCACCTGAGCACTAAAGCCCGCAGGTAAAGGCGGACGGAGCGAGTGACTGCAACAGCACAGCGACGTCGACGCCCCATCCCTATCATGTATTATATATAAATATATGCCATCGCAAGCCTAAACACACACCTACCCGCACGGTACGTGTGTATGCATCTATGTGTATAGATATATACTATACGTGTGTGTACATGCCCACATGAGTGCATGCATTTTGCATGTGTACATAGCATCCTACAACCCCAGACATGTAAATGGACAAAACCACCCTGACACGTACTCCTGTCCATTATCTTTCCCTTGGGGGCATCATATGATACACGCCAACCCGGAAAATGGACAGGATATTTGGGCATAAGGGGGCGCCACCCAGCCCTGCCCATTTAATAGTGGGGGGGGATAATGGGAGTTTCCGAAAATGGGGGACCCTAATATTGTACCCTAAATAGTCGGATCCTTTTTATAAGGACCCCCAAAATCAGGTATCCCTAATTTTCCGCATTTGGGGGGAGTTTCGGGGGTCAGGGTATTTAGGTGCTTTTTAGGATTTTAGGGGTGTTAGGGTTGTTAAGGGTTTTAGGATTATTTTGGGTTTCAGGATCTTTCTGAATTTAGGGGTTTCAGGGTTTAGGGTTTCGGGGTGAAAACATGCAGGGAGAACCATGCAAAATCCAACCCAGCATGGAGGAAGAGCTGAGTTTGAACTGTATCGGGACGCATACCGGAACCCCCCCCCCCCAATTTCCCTGTTACCTTAAAACCCCACTATTAAGGACCATTAGGGCTCGGTTTTAAGGGTTCTTGGAGGGTGCTGGTAAGAAGTCTGCATGAAACACATGCAAAGGAAAAAACAGCATATAAGTAAGCATTCGGATAGGCATATCCCAGGTGAAGCCTCTTATAATGAAGCCCCCTTGTAAATTGCTTATTTTCTGTTTGGGTGCCTGAAAAAACTCATGTGACTCATGTGTATATGTATGTCAAGACAGTGTATGCTGAACTGAGTGTTTATGTCCGCATCGAACTCATTTCACTGTGGCCTAGGGTTTCAGGTCTCCCAGCTGGCCGGATACTAGCCAAATACTAGTAATAGTAATAGTAATAGTCTAATGTTTAGGGTTTCGGCGCTCACACTCGGACACTCCACGCGAGGCATGCGTTTCGGCGCTCATACTCGGACATGCGCTCAGGGTTTAGGGTAGTAATTGCCAATATCGTCTTGGGTTTCCTTCTTGTAATTATAGTAGTATACGCCAGCAAGATGCTCTAATTAAGGCCCCTACATGATGGTCACGCAGCCTTGCAAACCCGAACCATGTAACCACCAGTCCATTGTTCGGGAAACCAGCGCTGCATAGAAGTATCTTCATTAAGTCTGAGGCTTCGCAGTTGACGGTTCTAGAGTTGGTCTTGAAAGGTAAGGGCAGGTGATTGAAGGTCTGGGCGGAAAGGGCTACGCATGGGACCTTCAGCATTTCAGGCTTTACAGCTTGAGGGTTGTGAATGTCACGTTCACCCGGGAACATCTCAAAAACTACCCGGAGCATGGACGTCCACCGTGGAAGTCACAACCCTAGGCCCCCACTGCAAACAAAACCTCCGACGAGGAACACCGAAACCAGCAAGCGGGACGTTCTCTGAGTCGGTGCCGGCAGAATGCGGCACTCTTGTTGTGAGCTGAGTACCATAACAGGGACACTAGTTTGGCTTAATCATTGGACACCAGACCCTGAGGCTGAAAGCCGACTTGTGGTGTGAAGTGCCGGGGTGGGGTTTCGGCCAACTGAGGACCTAGAAAACGCTCTTAGGACCTCAGGACGTTCGGAATGCTCCAAATCACGGATCCACAGGTTTCTGAAAGAGTGGTCTAGGCTTGACGATTCTAGGGTTGTTTGCAACTTCGGGGCCCAGTTCCTTCGCCGGGAGGCGATGTTCGGATGGTCAAGGTCCCGAAGAATCTGGTATTCAGACCGGCGCATTTGGATCATGTCCTGATCCTGAGCCGAGGTTTTACTGTCGCAGTTGTACAGGCCCCTGACAAGAAGAGTTCTATTGAGAAGCCTGAACAATCTGCCATGCTACTGCTACTACCACTTCGACTACTTCTA